GACGATGACGACACGAAGAAGGAGCTATTCGGCTTCGGTCTCGGCGGTCTCGGCGGTCTCGGCGGATGGGGCAATTGGGGAGGCTGGGGAGGCTGGGGCGGCTATGGGCCCTACCGCTTCGGCTTCACCTACGGCGGCATCGGCGGCTGGGCGTACCCGTTGAACTACTGGAACACCTTTGGCTCGGGTCTGATCGGTGGCGGGTGCGGCCTCGGTATTCCTTTTGGCGGTCTCTACTACTGCTAGCCTCCCGTCGACAGAAACGATCCTTCCATCGGGTGAAACCCGTGCGGTCCAAGTCGAGTCCCCGCAACCCAAGTCGAGTCCGAGCAACAGAGTCGAATCCAGTGACTTGGTTCGCGTAGAATAAAGTCAAGCGATTCGCGTCGCTGTTTCGTGCGGTAGCTGCAGTGTCTTGTGCTTTACCGCTGTTTCGTCGTTGACGATCACGAAAATACGAGAGGAGCAAAATACGAGAGGAGCAAAATACAAGCGCGATTTCGTTTTTTCATTATTTGCTGCTTTGTTACGAATACGAATCGTCGGCTGACTGACGATCTCGTTATGGACGACACGAGACCAAGCGGACTGCTCCTTCGTTTGAGCTACTCAACACGGCCTGCTCTTCATGTCAGCATCAACGTGTCCGAAACATCGGAGTCACCCAGACGACAAGGTTTGAGCCTTGGATCAGAGGCTGACAAGCATTGTCATCGATATCCAAACGCAACTGCAGTACGTGAAATGCTGACGGATGAAAAGAGAGTGGTGAAGGCCAAGAGGACCTATGATGATTCGCCATATCGCAGCATCGTTTGTGGAAAAATCGATGCTTGTTGCTCCGACTTCCGTAGACACCATTATCGCTTGTTGATCCTACTTCCATCGACATCGACAGCCACCTCGTTGCGATATGGTGGAAGACTCGTCTCCGTTTTATCTTGTGATCGAGCGGATGTACACGAGCACGATTGACCGATACTATTCACGGATTGGTGATCGAATAGGCATGGGAGTGGTTGGATCACACCCAGCTAGAAGATCGCCAACCAAGCATCATTCAGACACCTACATTGACTATCTCGACGCGACACTACAACACGATGCACGCGCATGATCTCCTCCATATACAAACAAGATTGTACTTTATGCCACCATGCGGATCCCGCCCGTGATCATGAGGTGTCACTACTTGTGGAGCGAGGGAAGGTCATTGATTCGCGGCGATGTGCACAACGTGTCATGCGCGTCAGTCACCAATCAATCGCCTTCACTTTCTTCGATGAACATGTTTCTGCGAGAACAACTGGAAAGCTTCGAGGAATACCGAGTCGCTCGCAGAGTCAGAGTCAGACGTGTTCAAAGTCATCGTCGTCAGCACTCACAACGCGATTCGATTCCAATCGAGCATATTGGGCATATATCCTGCGAGACACGCCGGCCGACCGACCGACCGACCGAGCAACTGACTGACTGACCGACCTCACTCGGTGACCATGAAATGCACCGTCTTTCTCGTCGCTGCCATTGGTGTACTCGGTGTCGTCACAGCTGCCGACCAAGCTGCTGTGAAAACACCTGCCGAAGCACTCGAGCAGATCCGGTCGACGGCTTTGCCCGATGGTGTCGCACTGACCGGAACAACAGAGAAGATCGACCCACCTGCTACAGCTGCTGCGGTTGCTCCGAAGGGAACCGACGTCAAGGAAGACAAACAGCACAACGACAAGGAGGACTCGGCGGACTCGGAGGACGACGATGACGACACGAAGAAGGAGCTATTCGGCTTCGGTCTCGGCGGTCTCGGCGGTCTCGGCGGATGGGGCAATTGGGGAGGCTGGGGAGGCTGGGGCGGCTATGGGCCCTACCGCTTCGGCTTCACCTACGGCGGCATCGGCGGCTGGGCGTACCCGTTGAACTACTGGAACACCTTTGGCTCGGGTCTGATCGGTGGCGGGTGCGGCCTCGGTATTCCTTTTGGCGGTCTCTACTACTGCTAGCCTCCCGTCGACAGAAACGATCCTTCCATCGGGTGAAACCCGTGCGGTCCAAGTCGAGTCCCCGCAACCCAAGTCGAGTCCGAGCAACAGAGTCGAATCCAGTGACTTGGTTCGCGTAGAATAAAGTCAAGCGATTCGCGTCGCTGTTTCGTGCGGTAGCTGCAGTGTCTTGTGCTTTACCGCTGTTTCGTCGTTGACGATCACGAAAATACGAGAGGAGCAAAATACGAGAGGAGCAAAATACAAGCGCGATTTCGTTTTTTCATTATTTGCTGCTTTGTTACGAATACGAATCGTCGGCTGACTGACGATCTCGTTATGGACGACACGAGACCAAGCGGACTGCTCCTTCGTTTGAGCTACTCAACACGGCCTGCTCTTCATGTCAGCATCAACGTGTCCGAAACATCGGAGTCACCCAGACGACAAGGTTTGAGCCTTGGATCAGAGGCTGACAAGCATTGTCATCGATATCCAAACGCAACTGCAGTACGTGAAATGCTGACGGATGAAAAGAGAGTGGTGAAGGCCAAGAGGACCTATGATGATTCGCCATATCGCAGCATCGTTTGTGGAAAAATCGATGCTTGTTGCTCCGACTTCCGTAGACACCATTATCGCTTGTTGATCCTACTTCCATCGACATCGACAGCCACCTCGTTGCGATATGGTGGAAGACTCGTCTCCGTTTGTATCTTGTGATCGAGCGGATGTACACGAGCACGATTGACCGATACTATTCACGGATTGGTGATCGAATAGGCATGGGAGTGGTTGGATCACACCCAGCTAGAAGATCGCCAACCAAGCATCATTCAGACACCTACATTGACTATCTCGACGCGACACTACAACACGATGCACGCGCATGATCTCCTCCATATACAAACAAGATTGTACTTTATGCCACCATGCGGATCCCGCCCGTGATCATGAGGTGTCACTACTTGTGGAGCGAGGGAAGGTCATTGATTCGCGGCGATGTGCACAACGTGTCATGCGCGTCAGTCACCAATCAATCGCCTTCACTTTCTTCGATGAACATGTTTCTGCGAGAACAACTGGAAAGCTTCGAGGAATACCGAGTCGCTCGCAGAGTCAGAGTCAGACGTGTTCAAAGTCATCGTCGTCAGCACTCACAACGCGATTCGATTCCAATCGAGCATATTGGGCATATATCCTGCGAGACACGCCGGCCGACCGACCGACCGACCGAGCAACTGACTGACTGACCGACCTCACTCGGTGACCATGAAATGCACCGTCTTTCTCGTCGCTGCCATTGGTGTACTCGGTGTCGTCACAGCTGCCGACCAAGCTGCTGTGAAAACACCTGCCGAAGCACTCGAGCAGATCCGGTCGACGGCTTTGCCCGATGGTGTCGCACTGACCGGAACAACAGAGAAGATCGACCCACCTGCTACAGCTGCTGCGGTTGCTCCGAAGGGAACCGACGTCAAGGAAGACAAACAGCACAACGACAAGGAGGACTCGGCGGACTCGGAGGACGACGATGACGACACGAAGAAGGAGCTATTCGGCTTCGGTCTCGGGTGGGGTCTCGGCGGATGGGGCAATTGGGGAGGCTGGGGAGGCTGGGGCGGCTATGGGCCCTACCGCTTCGGCTTCACCTACGGCGGCATCGGCGGCTGGGCGTACCCGTTGAACTACTGGAACACCTTTGGCTCGGGTCTGATCGGTGGCGGGTGCGGCCTCGGTATTCCTTTTGGCGGTCTCTACTACTGCTAGCCTCCCGTCGACAGAAACGATCCTTCCATCGGGTGAAACCCGTGCGGTCCAAGTCGAGTCCCCGCAACCCAAGTCGAGTCCGAGCAACAGAGTCGAATCCAGTGACTTGGTTCGCGTAGAATAAAGTCAAGCGATTCGCGTCGCTGTTTCGTGCGGTAGCTGCAGTGTCTTGTGCTTTACCGCTGTTTCGTCGTTGACGATCACGAAAATACGAGAGGAGCAAAATACGAGAGGAGCAAAATACAAGCGCGATTTCGTTTTTTCATTATTTGCTGCTTTGTTACGAATACGAATCGTCGGCTGACTGACGATCTCGTTATGGACGACACGAGACCAAGCGGACTGCTCCTTCGTTTGAGCTACTCAACACGGCCTGCTCTTCATGTCAGCATCAACGTGTCCGAAACATCGGAGTCACCCAGACGACAAGGTTTGAGCCTTGGATCAGAGGCTGACAAGCATTGTCATCGATATCCAAACGCAACTGCAGTACGTGAAATGCTGACGGATGAAAAGAGAGTGGTGAAGGCCAAGAGGACCTATGATGATTCGCCATATCGCAGCATCGTTTGTGGAAAAATCGATGCTTGTTGCTCCGACTTCCGTAGACACCATTATCGCTTGTTGATCCTACTTCCATCGACATCGACAGCCACCTCGTTGCGATATGGTGGAAGACTCGTCTCCGTTTGTATCTTGTGATCGAGCGGATGTACACGAGCACGATTGACCGATACTATTCACGGATTGGTGATCGAATAGGCATGGGAGTGGTTGGATCACACCCAGCTAGAAGATCGCCAACCAAGCATCATTCAGACACCTACATTGACTATCTCGACGCGACACTACAACACGATGCACGCGCATGATCTCCTCCATATACAAACAAGATTGTACTTTATGCCACCATGCGGATCCCGCCCGTGATCATGAGGTGTCACTACTTGTGGAGCGAGGGAAGGTCATTGATTCGCGGCGATGTGCACAACGTGTCATGCGCGTCAGTCACCAATCAATCGCCTTCACTTTCTTCGATGAACATGTTTCTGCGAGAACAACTGGAAAGCTTCGAGGAATACCGAGTCGCTCGCAGAGTCAGAGTCAGACGTGTTCAAAGTCATCGTCGTCAGCACTCACAACGCGATTCGATTCCAATCGAGCATATTGGGCATATATCCTGCGAGACACGCCGGCCGACCGACCGACCGACCTAGCAACTGACTGACTGACCGACCTCACTCGGTGACCATGAAATGCACCGTCTTTCTCGTCGCTGCCATTGGTGTACTCGGTGTCGTCACAGCTGCCGACCAAGCTGCTGTGAAAACACCTGCCGAAGCGCTCGAGCAGATCCGGTCGACGGCTTTGCCCGATGGTGTCGCACTGACCGGAACAACAGAGAAGATCGACCCACCTGCTACAGCTGCTGCGGTTGCTCCGAAGGGAACCGACGTCAAGGAAGACAAACAGCACAACGACAAGGAGGACTCGGCGGACTCGGAGGACGACGATGACGACACGAAGAAGGAGCTATTCGGCTTCGGTCTCGGCGGTCGGTCTCGGCGGATGGGGCAATTGGGGAGGCTGGGGAGGCTGGGGCGGCTATGGGCCCTACCGCTTCGGCTTCACCTACGGCGGCATCGGCGGCTGGGCGTACCCGTTGAACTACTGGAACACCTTTGGCTCGGGTCTGATCGGTGGCGGGTGCGGCCTCGGTATTCCTTTTGGCGGTCTCTACTACTGCTAGCCTCCCGTCGACAGAAACGATCCTTCCATCGGGTGAAACCCGTGCGGTCCAAGTCGAGTCCCCGCAACCCAAGTCGAGTCCGAGCAACAGAGTCGAATCCAGTGACTTGGTTCGCGTAGAATAAAGTCAAGCGATTCGCGTCGCTGTTTCGTGCGGTAGCTGCAGTGTCTTGTGCTTTACCGCTGTTTCGTCGTTGACGATCACGAAAATACGAGAGGAGCAAAATACGAGAGGAGCAAAATACAAGCGCGATTTCGTTTTTTCATTATTTGCTGCTTTGTTACGAATACGAATCGTCGGCTGACTGACGATCTCGTTATGGACGACACGAGACCAAGCGGACTGCTCCTTCGTTTGAGCTACTCAACACGGCCTGCTCTTCATGTCAGCATCAACGTGTCCGAAACATCGGAGTCACCCAGACGACAAGGTTTGAGCCTTGGATCAGAGGCTGACAAGCATTGTCATCGATATCCAAACGCAACTGCAGTACGAGAAATGCTGACGGCTGAAAAGAGAGTGGTGAAGGTCAAGACGACCTTTGATGAGTCGCCATATCGCAGCATCGTTTGTGGAAAAATCGATGCTTGTTGCTCCGACTTCCGTAGACACCATTATCGCTTGTTGATCCTACTTCCATCGACATCGACAGCCACCTCGTTGCGATATGGTGGAAGACTCGTCTCCTTTGTATCTTGTGATCGAGCGGATGTACACGAGCACGATTGACCGATACTATTCACGGATTGGTGATCGAATAGGCATGGGAGTGGTTGGATCACACCCAGCTAGAAGATCGCCAACCAAGCACCATTCAGACACCTACATTGACTATCTCGACGCGACACTACAACACGATGCACGCGCATGATCTCCTCCATATACAAACAAGATTGTACTTTATGCCACCATGCGGATCCCGCCCGTGATCATGAGGTGTCACTACTTGTGGAGCGAGGGAAGGTCATTGATTCGCGGCGATGTGCACAACGTGTCATGCGCGTCAGTCACCAATCAATCGCCTTCACTTTCTTCGATGAACATGTTTCTGCGAGAACAACTGGAAAGCTTCGAGGAATACCGAGTCGCTCGCAGAGTCAGAGTCAGACGTGTTCAAAGTCATCGTCATCAGCACTCACAACGCGATTCGATTCCAATCGAGCATATTGAGCATATATCCTGCGAGACACGCCGACCGACCGACCGACCGACCGACCGACCACTAGCAACTGACTGACTGACCGACCTCACTCGGTGACCATGAAATGCACCGTCTTTCTCGTCGCTGCCATTGGTGTACTCGGTGTCGTCACAGCTGCCGACCAAGCTGCTGTGAAAACACCTGCCGAAGCGCTCGAGCAGATCCGGTCGACGGCTTTGCCCGGTGGTGTCGCACTGACCGGAACAACAGAGAAGATCGACCCACCTGCTACAGCTGCTGCGGTTGCTCCGAAGGGAACCGACGTCAAGGAAGACAAACAGCACAACGACAAGGAGGACTCGGCGGACTCGGAGGACGACGATGACGACACGAAGAAGGAGCTATTCGGCTTCGGTCTCGGCGGTCTCGGCGGTCTCGGCGGATGGGGCAATTGGGGAGGCTGGGGAGGCTGGGGCGGCTATGGGCCCTACCGCTTCGGCTTCACCTACGGCGGCATCGGCGGCTGGGCGTACCCGTTGAACTACTGGAACACCTTTGGCTCGGGTCTGATCGGTGGCGGGTGCGGCCTCGGTATTCCTTTTGGCGGTCTCTACTACTGCTAGCCTCCCGTCGACAGAAACGATCCTTCCATCGGGTGAAACCCGTGCGGTCCAAGTCGAGTCCCCGCAACCCAAGTCGAGTCCGAGCAACAGAGTCGAATCCAGTGACTTGGTTCGCGTAGAATAAAGTCAAGCGATTCGCGTCGCTGTTTCGTGCGGTAGCTGCAGTGTCTTGTGCTTTACCGCTGTTTCGTCGTTGACGATCACGAAAATACGAGAGGAGCAAAATACGAGAGGAGCAAAATACAAGCGCGATTTCGTTTTTTCATTATTTGCTGCTTTGTTACGAATACGAATCGTCGGCTGACTGACGATCTCGTTATGGACGACACGAGACCAAGCGGACTGCTTCTTCGTTTGAGCTACTCAACACGGCCTGCTCTTCATGTCAGCATCAACGTGTCCGAAACATCGGAGTCACCCAGACGACAAGGTTTGAGCCTTGGATCAGAGGCTGACAAGCATTGTCATCGATATCCAAACGCAACTGCAGTACGAGAAATGCTGACGGCTGAAAAGAGAGCGGTGAAGGTCAAGACGACCTTTGATGAGTCGCCATATCGCAGCATCGTTTGTGGAAAAATCGATGCTTGTTGCTCCGACTTCCGTAGACACCATTATCGCTTGTTGATCCTACTTCCATCGACATCGACAGCCACCTCGTTGCGATATGGTGGAAGACTCGTCTCCGTTTTATCTTGTGATCGAGCGGATGTACACGAGCACGATTGACCGATACTATTCACGGATTGGTGATCGAATAGGCATGGGAGTGGTTGGATCACACCCAGCTAGAAGATCGCCAACCAAGCACCATTCAGACACCTACATTGACTATCTCGACGCGACACTACAACACGATGCACGCGCATGATCTCCTCCATATACAAACAAGATTGTACTTTATGCCACCATGCGGATCCCGCCCGTGATCATGAGGTGTCACTACTTGTGGAGCGAGGGAAAGTCATTGATTCGCGGCGATGTGCACAACGTGTCATGCGCGTCAGTCACCAATCAATCGCCTTCACTTTCTTCGGTGAACATGTTTCTGCGAGAACAACTGGAAAGCTTCGAGGAATACCGAGTCGCTCGCAGAGTCAGAGTCAGACGTGTTCAAAGTCATCGTCGTCAGCACTCACAACGCGATTCGATTCCAATCGAGCATATTGGGCATATATCCTGCGAGACACGCCGACCGACCGACCGACCGACCGACCGACCGACCCTAGCAACTGACTGACTGACCGACCTCACTCGGTGACCATGAAATGCACCGTCTTTCTCGTCGCTGCCATTGGTGTACTCGGTGTCGTCACAGCTGCCGACCAAGCTGCTGTGAAAACACCTGCCGAAGCACTCGAGCAGATCCGGTCGACGGCTTTGCCCGGTGGTGTCGCACTGACCGGAACAACAGAGAAGATCGACCCACCTGCTACAGCTGCTGCGGTTGCTCCGAAGGGAACCGACGTCAAGGAAGACAAACAGCACAACGACAAGGAGGACTCGGCGGACTCGGAGAACGACGATGACGACACAAAGAAGGAGCTATTCGGCTTCGGTCTCGGCGGTCTCGGCGGTCTCGGCGGATGGGGCAATTGGGGAGGCTGGGGAGGCTGGGGCGGCTATGGGCCCTACCGCTTCGGCTTCACCTACGGCGGCATCGGCGGCTGGGCGTACCCGTTGAACTACTGGAACACCTTTGGCTCGGGTCTGATCGGTGGCGGGTGCGGCCTCGGTATTCCTTTTGGCGGTCTCTACTACTGCTAGCCTCCCGTCGACAGAAACGATCCTTCCATCGGGTGAAACCCGTGCGGTCCAAGTCGAGTCCCCGCAACCCAAGTCGAGTCCGAGCAACAGAGTCGAATCCAGTGACTTGGTTCGCGTAGAATAAAGTCAAGCGATTCGCGTCGCTGTTTCGTGCGGTAGCTGCAGTGTCTTGTGCTTTACCGCTGTTTCGTCGTTGACGATCACGAAAATACGAGAGGAGCAAAATACGAGAGGAGCAAAATACAAGCGCGATTTCGTTTTTTCATTATTTGCTGCTTTGTTACGAATACGAATCGTCGGCTGACTGACGATCTCGTTATGGACGACACGAGACCAAGCGGACTGCTTCTTCGTTTGAGCTACTCAACACGGCCTGCTCTTCATGTCAGCATCAACGTGTCCGAAACATCGGAGTCACCCAGACGACAAGGTTTGAGCCTTGGATCAGAGGCTGACAAGCATTGTCATCGATATCCAAACGCAACTGCAGTACGAGAAATGCTGACGGCTGAAAAGAGAGCGGTGAAGGTCAAGACGACCTTTGATGAGTCGCCATATCGCAGCATCGTTTGTGGAAAAATCGATGCTTGTTGCTCCGACTTCCGTAGACACCATTATCGCTTGTTGATCCTACTTCCATCGACATCGACAGCCACCTCGTTGCGATATGGTGGAAGACTCGTCTCCGTTTTATCTTGTGATCGAGCGGATGTACACGAGCACGATTGACCGATACTATTCACGGATTGGTGATCGAATAGGCATGGGAGTGGTTGGATCACACCCAGCTAGAAGATCGCCAACCAAGCACCATTCAGACACCTACATTGACTATCTCGACGTGACACTACAACACGATGCACACGCATGATCTCCTCCATGTACAAACTGGATTGTACTTTATGCCACCATGCGGATCCCGCCCGTGATCATGAGGTGTCACTACTTGTGGAGCGAGGGAAAGTCATTGATTCGCGGCGATGTGCACAACGTGTCATGCGCGTCAGTCACCAATCAATCGCCTTCACTTTCTTCGATGAACATGTTTCTGCGAGAACAACTGGAAAGCTTCGAGGAATACCGAGTCGCTCGCAGAGTCAGAGTCAGACGTGTTCAAAGTCATCGTCATCAGCACTCACAACACGATTCGATTCCAATCGAGCATATTGAGCATATATCCTGCGAGACACGCCGACCGACCGACCGACCGACCTAGCAACTGACTGACTGACCGACCTCACTCGGTGACCATGAAATGCACCGTCTTTCTCGTCGCTGCCATTGGTGTACTCGGTGTCGTCACAGCTGCCGACCAAGCTGCTGTGAAAACACCTGCCGAAGCGCTCGAGCAGATCCGGTCGACGGCTTTGCCCGATGGTGTCGCACTGACCGGAACAACAGAGAAGATCGACCCACCTGCTACAGCTGCTGCGGTTGCTCCGAAGGGAACCGACGTCAAGGAAGACAAACAGCACAACGACAAGGAGGACTCGGCGGACTCGGAGAACGACGATGACGACACGAAGAAGGAGCTATTCGGCGGCGGTCTCGGTGGTCTCGGCGGATGGAGCAATTGGGGAGGCTGGGGCGGCTGGGGAGGCTATGGGCCCTACCGCTTCGGCTTCACCTACGGCGGCATCGGCGGCTGGGCGTACCCGTTGAACTACTGGAACACCTTTGGCTCGGGTCTGATCGGTGGCGGGTGCGGCCTCGGTATTTCTTTTGGCGGTCTCTACTACTGCTAGCCTCCCGTCGACAGAAACGATCCTTCCATCGGGTGAAACCCGTGCGGTCCAAGTCGAGTCCTCGCAACCCAAGTCGAGTCCGAGCAACAGAGTCGAATCCAGTGACTTGGTTTGCGTAGAAAAAAGTCAAGCGATTCGCGTCGCTGTTTCGTGCGGTAGCTGCAGTGTCTTGTGCTTTACCGCTGTTTCGTCGTTGACGATCACGAAAATACGAGAGGAGCAAAATACGAGAGGAGCAAAATACAAGCGCGATTTCGTTTTTTCATTATTTGCTGCTTTGTTACGAATACGAATCGTCGGCTGACTGACGATCTCGTTATGGACGACACGAGACCAAGCGGACTGCTCCTTCGTTTGAGCTACTCAACACGGCCTGCTCTTCATGTCAGCATCAACGTGTCCGAAACATCGGAGTCACCCAGACGACAAGGTTTGAGCCTTGGATCAGAGGCTGACAAGCATTGTCATCGATATCCAAACGCAACTGCAGTGCGAGAAATGCTGACGGATGAAAAGAGAGTGGTGAAGGCCAAGAGGACCTATGATGATTAGCCATATCGCAGCATCGTTTGTGGAAAAATCGATGCTTGTTGCTCCGACTTCCGTAGACACCATTATCGCTTGTTGATCCTACTTCCATCGACATCGACAGCCACCTCGTTGCGATATGGTGGAAGACTCGTCTCCGTTTTATCTTGTGATCGAGCGGATGTACACGAGCACGATTGACCGATACTATTCACGGATTGGTGATCGAATAGGCATGGGAGTGGTTGGATCACACCCAGCTAGAAGATCGCCAACCAAGCATCATTCAGACGCCTACATTGACTATCTCGACGCGACACTACAACACGATGGACGCGCATGATCTCCTCCATGTACAAACAAGATTGTACTTTATGCCACCATGCGGATCCCGCCCGTGATCATGAGGTGTCACTACTTGTGGAGCGAGGGAAAGTCATTGATTCGCGGCGATGTGCACAACGTGTCATGCGCGTCAGTCACCAATCAATCGCCTTCACTTTCTTCGGTGAACATGTTTCTGCGAGAACAACTGGAAAGCTTCGAGGAATACCGAGTCGCTCGCAGAGTCAGAGTCAGAGTCAGACGTGTTCAAAGTCATCGTCGTCAGCACTCACAACACGATTCGATTCCAATCTAGCATATTGGGCATATATCCTGCGAGACACGCCGGCCGACCGACCGACCGAACGAGCAACTGACTGACTGACCGACCTCACTCGGTGACCATGAAATGCACCGTCTTTCTCGTCGCTGCCATTGGTGTACTTGCTGTGAAAACACCTGCCGACCAAGCTGCTGTGAAAACACCTGCCGAAGCGCTCGAGCAGATCCGGTCGACGGCTTTACCTGTATCATATCGTAGTATATCACACCTGTGCAGGAGGACTCACTAGTAAATGCGTGCAATGATCAAATAGTGATTTTTTTCTTAACCGTTTCACGGTATTTGGTCGAAATAGTTGATTGAATCATTAGATTCTGCTTTTATGATTATGGCCTAATCCACACATTTGGTGTCGATGACAAATGTTGTCAATGTCTCGTGAAATCTTCATCTTAGAATCCTTATTGTGGTATCTTCAATTGGTACTGGCTTGCGATTTTTTGCCAAACTATCATTTCGTGCTATATGAAGAAAGCGGAGTTCCCTGAGAACAAACGCGATGAGAATGCGCGAAAGTTAATGATCAAAGTGGTTTAAGGCCTTCGCCTCATATCTTGTCGATAAAAGAATATGTGAATCAGAACATAATATTTTGTATGATCACGATCCAAACGGATCGACCCTTTGGGCAGAAAGAACCGTTTGCGATCGTCACTATGAAGCTTAGTTTGAATGCCACTGTGTTTTACATTTTCTTAGATTTCGATCTACATTAAATGCTATGTTTGTGAGAAAATGAGAAGTATTGGCAGCTTTGATGCAAGATTATGATAGCTATGATTGATTGGTAATATTTACGAGCCGCACGCTCTAGTGAAAAAGATATAATACGCGATTTTGAAATGATAGGTCTTTCTTCTATACATTTGGTCGATAATACCAAACTTGTCCAATATGCCGCAATTTATCCGACAGTTAACGCCTGCATGGCTCGTGCTTCCCTCCGGTCATAATGGATCTTTGAAAAAGACAAGCTGCATTTAAAAAATCTTGAGGGCTGAAGATTTGCACGTGTGGATAGAGGAGAGTAAAATTACAATTTCAACGCCGCCAATATTATGCTTTCGTGTAACTTGTTTTTTTGTCTATATATGTCGCACAATAGACCGGTCATAGACTGCATCAATGGAAGCTCTATGTGTAGACTATGAGCTCAGTCACGTGGTGGATAATAAGGGACAGAGGAAGATGAACAATGAGTCTTGTTGTTAAAGTTTAATCTAGGCTAGGTTTATCCTACATAGTTGTCATTAGTTGCATGGACATTAACATAGTAGAATGACGAATGCGTAGTCATCAGCTTGCGAATCAATTTGCTTACAAATTTGGTTTGATCATGTCGTGGAAAAACTGTTGATCGTGTAATTCTCGTGCGTTCCTATGTCAAAGTAAAACCAAAATTTCCTTGCTATTTATTTAGTGGGTGCGGCTCTCCACAAGATAAATTGCACTTAAGTTCCGTATAAATATTAACTGTCATGCCTTCATTCAACCGAGGGGGTCGGTTAAAGTGTTGGTATCAAGGCGTGTCATCATAAGAGTTAAAGTAGTAGCGGTCGATTGATCAGCCTTAGATTTGCGGATTTTGTTGAGTATGCTCATATATAGTATCTCCTCGATAGACGAATATATTGTACTATACCCGGTACAAAGTGAATATATTTGTTCAAAGACAAGTATCACATGTGACGGAGATCAATGGAATACAGAAATATAAATTTCTACAACTTGGTCGCATCAGACGATGAGTTGAATGAACGTGGTTTAATATCTTCTAATCGCGAACTCTATTAAACTGATTTTATTCGCTCATCGGTCTCATAATTGCTACTACGAGTCTCCTATCACAAAATCATGATATTTCGATAATGGGACACTATAAAACTGCCTGGAAAAATTAACGAACTAACGAAAAAACTCATTTTTCAGATTGATACAAAAGAATTAAGCGATAAAAAGGCAAAGTTTTTGCTCAAAGATATCGATAAAGCTCTCTTGTGAAATTTCGCTGGGTAGTATAGTATGATGCAAGCGACATGTTAACTCCTTTCTATTCAGAT